GGAGGCGGGGGCGGCGCGCGCGGAGCTGCAGAAGAAGGCGCAGGCGCTGCAGGAGGAGTGCGGTTACCTGCGGCGCCACCACCAGGAGGAGGTGGGCGAGCTGCTCGGTCAGATCCAGGGTTGCGGTGCCCTGCAAGCGCAGGCGCACGCCGAGGCGCGCGACGCCCTCAAGTGCGACGTGACGTCGGCGCTGCGGGAGATCCGCGCGCAGCTCGAAGGCCATGCGGTGCAGAGCACGCTGCAGTCGGAGGAGTGGTTCCGAGGTGCGTGGGAAGGGGTCGCCCCCTCCTGGCGGGCAGGGAGCAGCCGATAGGTACACCAACGAGATGGTAGAGGAGTCCTCCCGAAAGTAGCTGGAGCCCCTGCAAAGTGCATGCCACCTCATAAAGTAGCAGTTTTACTCGGGTCCTCCCTTGCGGGGCCCCAACCCTGGATTTTCCCTTAGTTGCCGCCTCCCACAGTATTTATGTCTGTACTTAAACGCCCAGCCAACCCCTCTGCATCCCACACTGTTAGGCGGACCCCAGTTTCATACTGGTCTCCCTTTCGAACAGACAAGCCAAGGTATATTCAGCACCCACTTGCCCTACCAACTCTGACCAGCCTCTCTCGCACCGAGCACAGAGGGAGAAACAGGAATATTCTGCTGACTTACCATTCTTCTCCCCGCTACTTGTTCAGTACATAATGTCCCCACTTTAATAATCTGCTGTGTAAGATGAAAGGAGTCTTCCATTTTCACACCCTTTCTAACCAGTATGGAACCAGCATGGGGACCTCATGACTGCCAGTGGCCAAGGCAACTTCTGTCTTATTTAATATACTCTTCCTCCTCTCAAAGCTAGGACCTCCCATCTCCCTTTCTCCCCCAAATTCCAGGGTTTCTGAATTGGCTAGACTGCAGTTGCCCTGAAGCACACTACCCAGTAGCTGCAGGGTGACCTTGACCAACATCGACTCTCTCTGGTTCTTGTTTCTTTTGACATGGAATCACCGGGCTTCCTAGTTTCGGAGGCAGACTCCTTCCTGACATCGGCTATAAACCTGTGCATTTTTCTGGAGGAGAGTGCAGACAGAGCTCAGGTGCTTTCCAAGTGTTGTCTGCCATCCATAATAGCTGAGACTCCTCACTTGGGTGGTTTTAAAGTTTGCTAACATCAGGGAAAGCCAGGGATACTGGGATTTGGATGCTTGGAATTCCCTTTTCATGCTCCACGCCTTTGCAGTGGCAGTGAACCGTCCCCTCCCCCATCTCTGCAGCAAGGCTCCTCCCAGAGGGGACCTCTTCTCTTTTAGGTTTGCCCTTCACCCAAGCAGAGCATCCAAGGATATATGTCCCTACCAGCTGGCCTCTATCTTTCCACCAGGATCAGCTCTTGGATATGGGGTGTTCCCTTTCAGGAGATTAAAACAATTTCTGATTTCCACTGGAAGATCTGAGAACCCGTAGCCAGCTGGTGTCAGAGGCCAATGTATGGCCTCGATTGGCTCGGGGGCCCCCCTCCCTGAGGATGGAAGGGACAAAGGGCTGGTACACAGGCCTTTGGCGCCCCTGTGACCTTGGATTCTGCAGGAGCCTACCAGGAAGTTACCATGGCTACATTGTAACTGATCACCCCCAGAGCTTTCATGCCTGGTGAGATCACAGGAATATTAACTTCTTCCACAAGCCTGCAGACCCTAGCTAAGCATTAGGCCTCATGCTAGATTTCCCACCTGCACTCCTCAGTATGCCAGCTCCTTTATTAAGGAGCTCTGCCACGCCCTGGCACCAGGAATGGGACCTTCCTTTCTCCTGAGTGTTATGGATCAAGTTGAGGGGGACATAGTCTGTTTTTCAAAACCAAATAGACAAAATTTGAGTCCTGCCACTCACTAACTGGGTGGCTTTGGACAAGAGTGACTTGACTGTCATAGGATGGGATGTATTAACATGTTGGTACATCTTCAACCAATGCGTGTCACTTTCCAAATCTGAGCATTGGAACCAAGTTCAGATGTGCCTAACCCTGTGCCCTGGTTCCTCCCCTGTTCAGTGAGGTTGGACCGACTGTCAGAGGCGGCCAAGGTGAATATAGATGCCATGCGTTCGGCACAGGAGGAGATAACCGAGTACCGGCGGCAGCTGCAGGCTAGGACCACGGAGTTGGAGGCACTGAAAAGCACCAAGGATTCACTGGAGAGGCAGCGCTCTGAGCTAGAAGACCGTCATCAGGCAGACATTGCATCCTACCAGGTGAGCAGGGGAACACGGAGTCATTTCTTTTCTTAGAGAAGGACCTTGTACTCTGAGTCAGCCACATATTTTCCATTGTGTGACCTGGAGACTTATCTGCCTATCTGAATTAATATTCCTTTTCTGAAGTGAAAATAAGGAAAAACAAGAACAAAAACCACCTCGTTGCAGAGCTGTGAAGGTCACCAATACAGGGGCATATAGCGCAGTAGTAGAGTTCTTGCCTTCCTGCTATGCATGAGGTCCTGGGCCCCATCCTAGCACCTAATAAATAATTTACTACTTAAATATAAACGCTCAGCATAATCTTGGTTAGAGTAGGTTATAGTCACCAGCGTCCGTGGGAGTAGTCTGAGGGGCAGCTTTGGCAGATTTCTTTTTTTTTTTCCATTCATTTATTTAGCTCATAAATAAAGTCATGCACAATTATGATACACAATACAGTATGTTCACAATGGCATGGTTAAATTAAACCAATTAACATGTTATATCACACATATTCATCATTTTTGTTTTGAGAACACTTAAAGTATACTATCTCACAACTTTTAAAATATAACACATTGTTATAAACCATATTTATCATGCTCTCAGTAGACCTCAAGACTTCACAGAGTCCATGCCTCTTGTCCAACTGCAGTTTTATATCCTTAAGCTTTGGCAGATTTCTTCAGTCGAAAACAATTGGGGAGAAAAGTGTACTTTCTTAGAAGAGCATAAACAAGTAAACGTGATGATTGCAGAGACATTGGGAACTGGAGAAACAGCGCAGGAGATAAAGGGTAGTTGTAAAGGTTTACTTTAAGCAGTGCTCCAGTGGGAAGGAGTTTCATCTCTATCAATATGCTTCTGGGGACCCTCTAGCTTGCTGGGTAATCAAAGAGCAGACACTTGCCAAGCATTGACACTTGCAGGCACTTTTGGAAAGAACAGAAAACCAAGTAGCTAAAACTGCTCTTTTCCCAGGGCCCTGTGTATGATGCTACTCAAGTGTTCTACCGCTGGGCTACACCTCAACCCTTTCATGGAGCACTTTCTAAGACATTTGTAAAAATTCACCCGTCATTTTACTGACTGAGCCAGTGTCAGTTGTATATCATTCCAGATCTTTCCTCAGGCTAAGATTTTTTTTTTTTTTCGAGACAGGGTTTCTCTGTGGCTTTGGAGCCTATCCTGGAAATAGCTCTTATAGACCAGGCTGGTCTGAACCTCACAGAGATCCGCCTGCCTCTGCCTCCCAAGTGCTGGGACTAAAGGGGTGCACCACTACCACCCAGTTCAGGCTAAGATTTTTGATCCAGATTTTTCCTTGTCTGTACATGAGTAGCTTGCAGTTTTGACAGGGTGGGGCTTTGTCCCCAGTGAGGTGGCTGAGCAGGGTGGCCCCAGCTTATCTGGAACTGAGGGCCAGGTACTGACTGGCAGATGACTTGCCTGATCTGTCACCCACAGGATGCTATTCAGCAGTTGGACAATGAGCTGAGAAACACCAAGTGGGAGATGGCAGCGCAGCTCCGAGAGTACCAGGACCTGCTCAATGTCAAGATGGCCCTGGATATTGAAATTGCTGCTTACAGGTGAGACAGCCCAGGAGTCTTGAGTGGTATAGCGCTCCATGTTCTCAGAGCCTTGAGGCAGCATAGAGCCCTGTGCTCTCAGATCCTTCAGGCAGCACAGAGCCCATGTTCTTAGATCCTTGAGGTTGCATAGAGCCCTGTGTTCTCAGAGCCTTGAGGCAGCACAGAGCCCTGTGTTCTCAGGGCCCTGAGGCAGTATAGAGCCCTGTGTTCTCAGAGCCTTGAGGCAGCACAGAGCCCTGTGTTCTCGAGTCTTATAGCTGCATAGCGCCCTGTGTTCCAATGAAGTAATACGCTTCCAGTTTCAAGTTGTGTTTAGGTAGCCTGCTACTTTTTAGAGACAATTTTTTTTTGGTTTTTGTCTTGTTTTGTTTTTTGAAAGAGATCTTACTATGTAGCCCTGTCTGGCCTTGAAGTCACTATGTAGACCAACATGCTTTATAGCTCTTAGAGACCCACCTACCGCTGCCTCCCAACTGCTGGGACTAAAGGTGTGCGCCACCTCAGCCTACCTAAGACAAAAGGTGTGTGTGTGTGTGTGTGTGTGTGTGTGTGTGCGCGCGCGCGCGCGCGCGCGTGCGCGTGTGTGCGCGTGTGTCTGTTCTATCCTTCACTTTTACATGGGTTCTAGGCATTGGATTCAGGCATTCAGGTTTGTGCAGCAGGCATCACTACCCACATTGCCATCTCACCAGCTAAAAGTATTTCAGTTCTAAATCTGAACCTTTAAGGGCTCAGCTATCCATCCAGTCCTCATTATAGTAAAAATATATTTTAATGCTATATAATAGGCAAGATGGTTCAGTGGGTAAATGCACTTGCTATCTGAGGGCCTAAGTTTGATCACCAGAATCTACTGCAGAAAGATAACTGATACCTGAAAGTTGTCATGTATGCACACATGTACCTATATGCACACATACAATAAAATTTTTAAGTTTTAAAATCTATATCTTAAAATTAGCCTTTTATCGATTTTTAAATAAACAGTTCAGTGGTATTAAGTACATTTGCATATGCAGCACTCACCCCATCCTTTCCCAGAGCTATTTTTAGCATCCCAGATTCAAGCTGCACAGACTTTACAAGACTCCTTCTTGTCCACTGCCCTCAGCCCCTGATAGCTATTCTACTTCCCAAGAGGCAGAAATCTTGAAGCTGACTTATTTTCTTTTAATTATATTTTATTTATTTATATGTGTATGTGTGTGGCCTGCATGCACACACATGGAGATTAGAGGGTGTGTGTGTCTGGGTGTGGTCTCTGTGTATGTTTGCATGCACACATATATGGAGATCAGAAGAGTTTGGGGAGTTGGTTTTTTGCTTCCACCATGCAGGTCCTGGGTATAAAACTTACCAAGTCCTTGGGCTCAATGGTAATTATACTTACCTGCTGAGCCATCTCATTGGCTCAAGAGTGACTTGTTTTCTTTATGACTGTGATTTATAGTTTAAAGTCCTTTATCTACCCCAAACCCAGCTAGTCAGAGACTTGCTTTGGAGGAAAAGAGGTATTAGGTAGTCAGGGACCATTAGCTCACTAGGCCTTCATTCCTTGCAAAAATAAATGGAGATAACAGAAACAGCATGCATACCATGGGCTGTTGGGAGGCTCAACCAGTCTTGTTCATAGGGAAATCCAGCCGACACAGGTTCTTCTGGGCAGCCACATAGTGCTCACTGAATGGCAGCCTTTGAAAGACTGTTCCCCAAAGATGAGCCCTCCCGCTCTAGCAGGCCTCTTCTGGTTGGTGACCCTTAGCTGTGTCTACCTCCTGGCTCTGGTCTAATCTTGCTACTCAATGCAGTGCACACACCAGGAATCAGAGTGATCCTTGAGTTAGAAAGACAGGCCCAGGCTGCTGGATTGAGATTTGTAGTTTAATAAGAGCCAGGGTAATTTTTCAGCTGTTGTATTTGGAAAACACTGTTCCAGGGGAAACCCTCTGCCAAGCTCTTGACATTCACTATCTCACAGAAACAACCCTCTGAGGTAAGGACTCTGGTGGTCATTTCTCTACCAGTGAGGTAAAGGAGGCCTTAAGAGTCTGGGTAGCTCAGATAAGCTCACATCTAGTAAGTAGCTAGGTGGGAGGAGAAATCCCAAAGAATGGCTGTAAAAGGTGATGGGACAACTCTAAATGGCAATATTCTAAAACCTGTCAAACTAAATTTATAAGTATCGGCTTACTTGTCCCCATCTTTTTTCTTTCAGCCATGGGAGGGATTTATCTTTCTTTCTTTCTTTTTTTTTTTTTTTTTTTTTTTTGTGGGGGGGGGGGCGCGGCCCCACACACACACACACACACACACACACACACACACACAATGTGCATGGAGAGGTTATCTACAACTTTCAGGAGTCATAGTCTAAACCCATGACCTCAACATACTGGACCAGCAATACACCACTGAGCCATACCCCCAATCCTCCAGCTTTCTCTTGAATTAGGTTTTAGTTGAGAGGCAATACGTGTGTTTTGTTGATGTAGTTTTTTTATTGAGGACCATTCTTTAGGGAGATGCTTCCTCCTATAAATGGCAGTACAGCCCTCTGAGGATCAAGCTCTGTGGGTGGTCACTAGAACACTTTGTTAAATAACTTTCTTCATGCTCAGAGTGCTTCCTGCTGAGGCTGTGACCCAATGGAGACTGTGTGCTTAGCATGACCCAATCCTCAGCACCAGAAAAAATAAGTAAAGAGAGAGGGGGCTGGAGAAATGGCTCAGCGGTTAAGAACACTGGCTGTTCTTCCAGAGGACCTGAGTTCAATTCCCAGCAACCACATGGTGGCTCACAACCATCTTAACGAGATCTGGCACTCTCTTCTTGCCTTCAGGCATATATGCAGACAGAACACTGTATACAAAATAAATAATTTTTTTAAAAAAGAAAATATTTTAATAAAAAAAGGAAAGTGAGAGGAAGGAAAGAAGAAAAAAAGAAGGGGAACGAAAATGAAATTCCTGCTATTCATTCATATCCATCATTCACCAAACCCTGTCATTGAATGCAGTGGGGTTTCTGGGAAACGAAGGAAGATTCCAAACCTGAAAATGTGCAAAATGTGCTCTGAGTTAATGGTGTGTTTCATTATCCATTCTGCAGAAAGCTCCTGGAAGGTGAAGAGTGTCGAATTGGCTTTGGTCCAAGTCCCTTCTCTCTTACTGAGGGACTCCCGAAAATCCCCTCCGCATCAACTCACATAAAAGTCAAAAGTGAAGAGAAGATAAAAGTGGTAGAAAAATCAGAGAAGGAAACTGTGATTGTGGAAGAGCAGACAGAAGAGATCCAGGTGACTGAAGAAGTGACAGAAGAGGAGGAAAAAGAAGCCAAAGAGGAGGAAGGAGAAGAAACGGAAGAGGGAGGAGAAGAAGAAGAAGAAGAAGTAACATCTCCCCCCGCAGAAGAGGCAGCATCTCCAGAAAAGGAAACCAAGCCTCCTGTGAAGGAAGAGGCCAAGTCTCCAGCTGAGGTAAAATCTCCAACTGAGGCCAAGTCACCTACTAAGGCCAAGTCACCAGCTGAGGTAAAACCTCCAGCTGAGGCCAAGTCACCTGCTGAGGTAAAATCTCCAGCTGAGGCCAAGTCACCTGCTGAGGTAAAATCTCCAGCTGAGGCCAAGTCACCTGCTGAGGTAAAATCTCCAGCTGAGGCCAAGTCACCTGCTGAGGTAAAATCTCCAGCTGAGGCCAAGTCACCTGCTGAGGTAAAATCTCCAGCTGAGACCAAGTCACCTGCTGAGGCCAAGTCACCTACTGAGGCCAAGTCCCCAACTGCAGCCAAGTCACCAGCTGAGGTAAAATCTCCAGAGAAAGCCAAGACTCCTGTGAAGGAAGGAGCAAAATCCCCAGCTGAAGAGTCCAAGTCCCCTGTGAAGGAAGAAGTGAAGTCCCCAGCTGAAGTAAAATCTCCAGAGAAGGCCAAGTCCCCAGTTAAGGAAGAAGCAATGTCTCCGGCTCAAGCCAAGTCTCCAGAGAAGGAAGAAGCTAAATCACCAGCAGCGGTCAAATCTCCTGAGAAGGCCAAGTCCCCTGTGAAGGAAGAGATCAAGCCTCCAGCTGAGGTGAAATCCCCTGACAAGGCTAAGAGTCCAGTGAAGGAGGAATCAAAGTCTCCTGAGAAGACCAAGACTCTAGATGTGAAATCCCCAGAAGCCAAGACTCTAGGGAAAGGGGAAGCAAAGTACCCTGCAGACATCAAATCCCCTGAGCAGGCCAAAAGTCCTGCCAAGGAGGAGGTCAAGTCCCCAGAGAAGCTCAAGTCCCCTGAAAAGGAAGATGCCAAGGCTTCTGAGAAGGAAGTTCCCAAGAAGGACGAGGTGAAGTCCCCTGTGAAGGAGGAGGTGAAAGCCAAAGAACTCCCAAAGAAAGTAGAGGAAGAGAAGACCCCCGCTACACCAAAAACGGAGGAGAAGGTGATCAAGAAAGATGAACCACCCAAGAAGGAGGCTGCAAAGCCCAAGGTGGAGGAGAAGAAGGAAACCCCAGTAGAAAAGCCCAAGGACTCCACAGTGGAAGCCAAGAAGGAAGAGTCCGAAGAGAAGAAGAAAGCAGTGACCCCAGAGAAGGAGACTCCTGCCAAGGTGGAGGTGAAGGATGAGGTTAAATCCAAAGAGAAGACGGAGACAAAGACAGAAGTGGATGACACCAAGGCCAAAGAACCCAGCAAACCCACAGAGAAGGAAAAGCCACAGAAAGAAGAGATGCTGGCAGCACCAGAGAAGAAAGACAGCAAGGAGGAGAAGGCCACAGAGTCCAAGAAGCCCGAGGAGAAGCCCACAATGGAGGCCAAGGCCAAAGAGGACGACAAGGGCCTTCCCAAAGAGCCCAGCAAACCCAAGACGGAAAAGGCTGAAAAATCCTCTAGCACGGACCAAAAGGACAGCCAGCCCCCAGAGAAGGCCACAGAGGACAAGGCCACCAAGGGGGAGAAGTAAGGCCAGAGGAACATCCAGAGGATGTTCAGAACATCCAGAACAGCCAAAGAAACTCAGGAGAGTCCCAGTCTCAAGAGTCAGAGTAATAAATTTTATTTATTTCTTTCCTTTCTGTAAGAAGAAACACTGTTTAGATGATGGGTCTGCCCTCACCAAACAGGAATTTCTGTTAGGATTAAGTTAGCAAGAGAAGATACCCTCAGCCCTGGCCCCCAATACCCCAAGCCCACCCCAGGTGATGGACAATTATGATAGCTTATTATAGCCGAAAGTGATGTATGCTGAATGCTACATGAAAACCACTTGACTAAAAACTGCCCCCTCCTTTCCAAATAAGTGCATTTATTTCCTGTATGTACAACTGACAGATGACCGCAATAATGAATGAGCAGTTAGTAATGCATTATGCTTGAGATGTAACCTATTCCTGAATGCCTTCTTGTTTTCCAAAGGAGTGGTCAGGCCCTTACCCAGCACTCTATCCGGGAAGAGCTGCAGCAGGTGAACCATGCCAGGGCACACTTTCCACTGGAGTCCACTTTCAATTGCTTCCATGCAATAAAACCAAGTGCTTCTAAAATAAAACTGTGGCTGTTCTTGTTTGTTTTCTTCTCCTGGGAAGGCTAGTAGCAGGGGCAGGAGGTCTAGATGTCACACCAGATCTGTGCCAGTGGCCTGGGGCACATTCCTCAGTATGGTTCATGGATCACCTTCATCAGCATCACCTGGGAGCCACAGACTCCTGACTCCATGCTGTTGATTGACATCGAAATCTGAGAGGGAGACACAGGGAAAGTACACACTTTGCCAAACCCCAGTTCACCCTATTGAACACTGATGCCTTGGAACAGTGAGCCCCAGGAGGATGTTGAATGGCCCATGGACTCTGCATGTTAGATGAAAAGTACCTATGTATAAGGCCCCACGTAGTTAATTCATCTGTGGTGAAGACTACAATAATCACCTGATTTATACCCAATGTGCTTCTCTGGGCATGCATTTTATTTTTTCAGCACCCCACTCCCACCCCTTTTATATTTTTATTTTGAGACAGTGTCTTGCTTAAATGCCCAGGTTTATCTTGAACCTGTCTCTCCCTCCCGAATATCTGGGGTTACATGCATGCACCACTATCCCAGGCTCCAGAAGTAATTTTGAAAGCTATGGTCCTCCTATAGGTTTCCATGACATCCTCACTGTTAAATCCTTGGTGGTACTGGCATGACCCCTTATTCTGCTTGCTCAACAACCCCTCACAGGAGTTGCCTCTTGCCCCCACCCCCACCCCTGCCAGATGGCTCTCAGCTATCAAGTTTCTAATTTTCCTACCTCTGGTCATTCTGATGACTGATCCAGAATGGCCAATGAAACTATTTTCTGGGATTTTAAACTTGGTACCACAGTGGCTGGTATTGTGATGTGAGTAGGAGCTGTGGGCCCCCATGTTTCCAGACCTATGGTAAGATAGTCTGAGAGAAGGTGAAATGAACAGGGATAAGATTCTTAGAGAGCCATGTGGATTTCAAGCCATGATCCAATCCACAGATGGTGGTCAATCCTTGAAGTGATAAATCCCCTTCTTTACCACAACTCTGTGGGTTAAGACACAGAAGGGATTTGAATAATACAGTGACTAAGGGAGTAGTTGCTATAGTAGAAACTAAATGGTGATACTTCCCAACTCTCTGAGCTAAGACACAGAAGGGATTTGAATAATACAGTGACTAAGGGAGTAGTTGCTATAGTAGAAACTAAATGGTGATACTTCAGGGAATGAGCAAGTGACCCCTCTCACCATACCCCAAAATTCTAGTCAACACTCCAGGCTAGGATCCACATATCATCTTTGGCACCCATCTCCATCTGTCACAAACATTGAATTATCAAAAGAATGCCAAGGCAGTTTAGAGTGATCGCTTTTAGATAAAAAAAAAAAAAAATTGACCCAGTCTCATGTATCCTGGGGTTACCTCTAACTTGATATGTTCCCAGATGGCACTGAGTTCCTGCTTCCACTTCCTGAGGGCTACGGTTATGGGCACATACCATGGGCTCTGGCAAATAATCACTTATCAACATGGACAAGGACTCTGAAAACTGAGCATTAATTACCTGAGCTGTCTGCCCTGGAGAAATCAGACATCCTTATGCCCTTGCACATAGCCACATCTGAACTTAAAGTGGACATCTTAAGGCAGGAAACAAAATCAGTAATTACAATCCTCTCGTCCCAGCCTCCGAGTACTATTGTTACAGGCATGGGCTGCCTCACCTGGCTCTCCCCCATGTGGCTTGCCTAAAAAGGTTACAGATGTCTGAATACCCCAAAATTTCTTATAATGAAGTACCTGATGGGGGATGTCCTTCTGTATGTGTTTCTCTTATTGGTTGATGAATAAAACACTGATTGACAAGTAGAGGCAGAAAGATAGGAGGGACTAGGAGATGAGGAGAATTCTGGGAAAGGTAGGCAGAGAGGGAGACCTTGGAGAGATGCCAAGGAAGGAGTAACAGGTCCAGACCCTTCTCCAGTAAGCCAAGACCATGTGGAAATACATAGATTAATAGAAATGGGTTAATAATTAAGACAGAGGTAGCCAATAAGAAGCCCTAGCCACCGGCCAATAGTTTATAAATTAATATATATCTCTGTGTGCTTATTTGGGCCTGAAAGGGTGGCGGGAAGCGGGACAAGATATACAGCTGCAAGTACCATGTTAAGAAATAACCATATAATATAAATGATCTGTGGTCTATGTGGATATTATTCTTCTGAGATGAGGTCTTGAGTAGTTCAGGGTATCTCCTAATTCACTACGTGGAGAATGACATGGAACTCATGATCTTTCTTCCTTAACCTCCCAAGTGCCGGGGTTCCAGGTGTGTCCCACCCCTGGTTTATGTAGTCCCAGGGATCAAATCCGGGGCTTGTGCTCTCTACCAGTAGAACTATATCCTTAATCCCATTTTTCAAGGTGAGTAAATGATGAAGAAACAGTGAGGTGGGAGCCCAAAGCTACTTGGCTGGTTTATAGATTAAATAAATTAGTGGTTAACTCTTGAGTCACCCATAATGCATCAATGTTTGTTGTATTAAGTAAAGAAGGAAATAAAAGGTTAAATTGTGGAAGTGATAAATCTCATTTAACAAAGAACAAGTTTAGATAAACCAAAAATAGTCTTTTTTTAAAAAAAAAGATTTATTTGTTATATATACAGTGTTCTGCCTCCATGTATGTTTGCAGGCCAGAAGAGGGCACCAGCTCTCTCTACAGATGGTTGTGAGCCACCATGTGGTTGCTGGGAATTGAACTCAGGCCTCCTGGAAGAGCAACCAGTGCTCTTAACCCCTGAGCCATCTCCAACCCCACTACAACAGTCTTAAGTGACTCCAAGGTGTGTTATTAACTGTGAGGTGCTGCACAAGTTCCAGTCTCTTGGGATGTGAGAGATTTTCAGAATATTGCAATACCACTTGTAAATGTTAGAACCAGAATTCGACTCTAGAAGTTTTTTTTTTAATTACTAGAGTTATTAAAATGTATATTTGGCAAAGCTTCAGGGTATAGATCAACACACCAATAACACATACGTAAACTGGGTGTGTGGTGCACACTTGTAATCCCAACACTCAAGAGGTGGAGGTGGGAGGATTAAAAGTTCAAGGTCATCCTAGCGCTACATAAGAAGTTGGAGGGGCTGGAGAGATGAGTCAGTGGTTAAGAGTACTTGTTGCTCTTGCAGAGAAACTCAGATTCCATTCCCAGCTCCGACATGGTGTTTTATAGCTGTCTGTATACAGCTCCTATCTCAGGGCATGTGATGCCCTCTTCTGGCCTCCACAGGTACTAGGCACACAGGTGCAGATAGAACATAATGCAGAAAGTTAACATACATAAAATAAAACAAAAATAATTTTTAAATAGTTGGAGACAGATGAGACCCTGTCTGAAAAAATTGAAAAGAACAATTGAGTCTATTTGTATCTACTCACTACTAGTAATGAACATGACACACTGAACATTCTGGAGACACCAGCAATACACAATCTGAACACACTGGACACACCAGCAACACACAATATAAACACACTGGACATACCAGCAATGAACAACATGAACACACTGGACACACCAGCAATGAACAACATGAACACACTGGACATACCAGCAATGAACAACATGAACACACTGGACACACCAGCAATGCATAATATGAACACACTGGACACACCAGCAATGAACAACATGAACACACTGGACA